GTAAGTTCTCTGTCCACTATCTTGCGATCCCGATGAATCGCTATTGAGGTTACTTCTATAATGTGGTATATTTCGTTGGATCCGTAAATAATGCTTATCCGTATTCATTAAATCCTAATCCACTAATACTGCTCAGTGGCAATCTTACCTTATTATACTCTTTCTCTCGTTTCCACTGGGGTCGATTTATGAATATATTTCATCCATCTTCTCGTATAAATGGAAGGGTCTAACTATTGTATATTAGGTCATGATTTCCATCTTTTCTAAGCTTACTCAGACTGCAATTGTCTTTGCTATGCCCATTTCTTTTGTTAGTCATTCCAATCTGACAAGAAGCGCTTCCTTCTGGCTGATTTGGACAAGGATGGGGCACTCTCTTTCGTTGAATATCGTGCCTTCTTATTCCCAGTTAGTCATCCGCATATGTCCGACTTTGAAGTTGATCGAACACTGGAGGCTTATGACAAAGATAAGGATAATCTTGTCAGTTTGCATGAATTTCTCACCTACGGTAATATTGTTATTTTAGAATATATGAACGAAACTTTCATCATGTCTATTTTCTATATAGTAATAAACAATCCTCAATTCTTTACCCTACAAATTCCAAAATTTGTGTTTCCTTCTTAGTCTACCATGAAACAATAATATAGAACTTCTACTGTGCTGTGGATTGGCTCAATGTAATATTTTTATTTCTATTTCAGAGGGGATTTCTACAGATTCTGTCATCCAGGCGGATGAAAAATCGCTATTTCATAAATTCGATAAGAACCGTGACGGGTTTCTTCAACGTTCTGAAATGGCTGAATGGGTTGTTCCGGGTAAGTGTGGGATATTATATATACCTAAAGCCTACTTCTCAACTTTTTTGTTAGTTGACTACTATTCACATGTAACTACGTCAAAGATCGCCCATTTTTCTCCTGGCTGTATCAAATTGTTTTTTCTTTTACCTCTCTAGGTATAGAAGAGGCGGCAATAAGCGAAGCGGATTCCTTGATCAAGGATTCCGACTCCAACAAAGATGGAATGCTTTCTAAAGAAGAGATTCTTCGCAAGCATCATCTTTGGTTGGGTAGCCAGGCCACAAGATATGGAAAACATCTCGAAGATGAATTGTGAACATTACTTAATATTTCCTACAAAACGTGTTATGCTTGCTTTTTTCCTTTAGTATTTTAACTTCAAATACTATTGAGCAAAGAGTGACTTGTTTTACATGCACATTCCATTGTATCTAGTCAATTGGAGTATCGCCAAAGATATCATGCACTTTCCATATATCTTTTTGATATTAAATTCATTCCTTTTTCTCACGTGCTTGCCTCTAATATCTTTTCTCTTAAAATACTCATCTGAGCCATCAAATAAACCGGTCTATCACGGAATTTCCATTTAACATATGGTTTTTAGTGGGTCAAAA